GAATGTTCAGCCAGGCTCCCAGGTCCTGGAAAAGGGAGACCTGCCCCTTCCCCAGGTCCCCTGCACTTTGGTCAATCCCTTCTAATCCTCTGAAAGTGTCAGGGGCTGTCAGACCCCAGGCCAGAGGCAGGACAGCATGACATAGTGTTGCCAACCTCGGAGCCACCAGTGGTAATATTTACATAACATTCTCCAAATCGAACTTAAATACGAGTGCTTGGAAAGAGAGGCTTTCAGTGAACATGAAAATGAAAACCATTACTTACGTGCCATAGAAGGTAAGTTTAAAAGTGAATGCAAAGAAATAAAAACAAGTAATTAGGCCTTCCCTGGTAACAGTGGCCTCAAGGTTCTGAGTCTCTTCTTTTTTTTTTTTTTGGAGAGATTTTCGCCATAGGGCGTGTGTGCTTGCCAGACAGACAGAGAGAGACATTAGAGACAGAAAGTGAGAAATCAGCCCCCAGGGGGTATGGTCACGCCGCAATCCCTTCTCCTCCGTTCTCCTCTCGGGATCTTGGGCACGCACGCACACGCACCCGGCATGAGTTTTAAGCCACCGTGTCCGGGACACGAACCACGGTCAACTACGTGGGAGTCCAGCGACATAGCCATTACACTAACTGCTGGTTCCCTGAGTCTCTTCTTGATTCTCGGGCATTCTGGCACCTGAGGGAGACTCTCTGTGAGAATAGACACCGGAGAGACTAAAGAGAGAGTAACTGTCTCTCCACGTGACTCAAGGCTGGGGATGGCGAGATGGAACAAGCAAAATCCAGCTCACAGGTGGGGTTTTCAGCCCAAGGCAGATGAACACACAGGAGGCTAGCCAGGGAGGGAGTGAATGGGCAAACTTTCCAGCTAGTTAGGTAGAACTTTCTAGAAGAAAAAATTTTCCCAATAGTCATGTATAGCCTCAAGCATGTGTATGTACATATGTGTATATGCATGTACCTACATGCATGTGTGTGCACATATGTGCATATGCATGTGCATAGTGGGAGGCTATCTGATGATCAAACATGATTTGCAAGTTGCATGACCCTGGGCAAGCCAACGTCCCTGTGCCTCACTTTTCTCCTCTGCGAAAGGGATGCATAATAATAACCTCTGGAAGGGGCCCCCAGGGTGAAGTGACATACCCCTGACATCTGCAGCCCTTTGAGTGACAACCTAGAGAGCACAAAGGTTGAAGGTCTTGGGCACTGAGGGACCTAGGGTCATGTTCTGGCTCTATTACTTCCCAGCTATGAGGTCTTGGGTGGCCAACCTCCCTCCTGACTGAGCCGGGGTTCCCGTCTGTGCGACGGGCCTGGTGCTGACTCTCCCCTTGGTCTGGGCTCCTTTCCAGGTGCGCACCGGCCTCCTGATGAACCTGATGGGCGTCCTGCTGCTTAGCTTGGCCATGAACACCTGGGCACAGACCATCTTTCAGCTGGGTACCTTCCCGGACTGGGCTGACGTCCACGCAGCCAATGTCACTGCACTGCCACCCACCTTGGTCAATGATACATTTCGGACCTTCTGAGTCCACCTGGGGGACTCTCTTTAGTTCAGGCCCTCCCAGAGGGCCATCACCTGCTGCTAGGACCCAACAGGACAATCAAGCAATTCTTTTTCTGTAATCCAATATGCAGCAAGCAAGAGTGACCTCCAGTGGTCCACTCGGTCCACAGGCTCATTTTCTAGGACACTTTCTTTCCCTCTTGTGCAGTTTGAGATCCAGATGTCTCCCAGCTCTGCTTCCTGAGAAACGAGCTCCTTGGTCTGGGACCTGTAACGCACTTAGGGTGCAGAGAGCCCAGTTCCAGCGATGAGAAGCAAACTTGGAAGGTGTTTGTCTTGCACAGTTGGGAGGGGCCGTCCCTTCCTCCGGGCAAGGCTAACGCATCCCCCAGTGACTAGTTGAGGTAACACTCTGGAGACCATCTTGTTTTTAAGGGTTACTTTCCTGGGCGAGGCCTTGGGGGCTCTATGTCTCAGGCCAGCTGTGCTGGCTGTCCACAACCGGCGTGTGTTCTGCCTGGCCGATGCCCGCTCTGGGCCAGTGGTTTGACTGTTGCCACTGCTGATACCAAGGAACCAGAGATTCGTTCCAACCCGGGAGACAGGGAGGAACAGGTGACTTCCTGAGGCCGTGGAGGCTGTGCGAAGCCTCCCTGCTGCCCCCGAGCTCCTGAGCACACCAGGGGAGTCTGGAAACCTCAGCTGGCAGCTCTGCCCACAAGGTTGACGATAGTTCTGTTTATCTGATCTGGTTTGGCCCTAATTCTGGGGTCAGGCCAAGCCTGGGCTTTGCCCTCTCATAGGTGACCCATGGCGCCACGACCCTCCTGCACGTGGCCTTCAGGGCTTCTGTGGCTACTGGGTAGGTGGCCTTTTCTTGTGCCAGCAACTGGTCTTTACCTCCCCACCCCTACCCCAAGAGGTAAGCAGAAATTAGCAAAAGTCACATTTTTTCAGGAGTGAGAAAAAAGTCAAAGGACAGTGGCCTGGTGAAAGGCCAGGGGGAAATGTCTCAGGCAGGCAAATATTATCCCCTCAAGTAGAAGGAAAACCAAGACATCCGCAATGTCCTGGAGGATTTGATCCCTCTCTAATTCAAGCAAAGCATCTGGGCCTCCCCCGGATGTCCTGCCCAGCCGGTGCTCAGAAAGTGCCCGCTGAGTGGAGCGGCCCAGCGCTGGCCCAGCATCAGGAAAGGCCCCGGCCCGGGCGCCCTGAACCCTCACACTTCCCTGTCTTGTTCTCCAGGGGCTGAGGTTCTGCCAGGAGCAGGCCAGGCCAGGAAGGCAGCACCGAGGACTGAACTCACTCTCCACATGGCACCAGCCAGTGGTGGGCCTTTCCCTGAGAGCAGGGGGAGACCAGGGGGGAGGCGGGCTCCACCTGCTTTCCAAGTGAGCACATTAGGATTTCATCACAGTTACAGCCCTTGGGACAAGGAAGGTACACAGATGGAGAGAGGTTCATGTACAGAAAACCCATGGGACCCGTGACCAGATGCATCATGATTTTAAATACTTCTGATCAAAAAATGCTGTCAAATAAAGACTGTTAATCAATGCTCAACCTGGAGGTTATTTGCCTTTCTGGATATCGAGAACATCCAAGTTACAAATTCTTGGACTGGGATTCCATAGAACTGCCCTCTGACGTCACAGCCCATTGCTCTCCCTCCTTCTCCATATTCCTGCCTCAGGACCTTTGCATATGCTGGCCCTCTGCCCAGAGCACTCTATTTCCAATATTCCAGGTTCCTTCCGTCACTTTATTCAGGACCCTGCTCAGAGTCACCTCCCGAGAGAGGCTACTTTGCCCATTCTGTCTAAAATGTTATCCTCAGCACTCTTCAGTTCCTTAAGTCAGCTAAATTTTCCTTCTTCTTAGTACCCAGGACCCTGCATAATTCATTTTCTTGTTTGTGATTGTTTTTTCCCTCTAGAACATAAACTTATGAAAATACAGACTGTACTTATTCATTGCTATTATTCTGGTACCTTCTGTCACAGGGCAAATGTTCAGAAAACATTCACTATTCACTAATCTACACCAGGATTTATGAGAAAGAGAGCTCACCCTCTGACCCAAGGTCTGTACGATCCGTTTATTTGTTCGTTCATTCTTCCATTTCTTCATTCCACACGCATCTACTTGGAAACTGTTTCGTGCTGGTTCATTGTCCCCACCCACATGGAGCAGCGACACAGCAGGCCCGTCAGCTATAACCCCAAGAGAAAATGAGCACAAGGTAGGAACTGCATTTCTGGAAACGGTTATCCAAATAGCCAACAGGGTTATAAGGAGACGCCTGCCTGACCTGCTTGTTTACAATTAAAAAAATGAAAATTCAAGTAAAAGTTTTGTGCTTCAAGGCGTAAGTAGGAGAGCACCACCGCATGGTGGCTGAGACCACGTGAGAGGCCTGGGCTTGGTTCCCAGCCCAACCCAAACAGGCCCGTGGCCGTGGCATGTACCAGTGGTCCTGGCTAACTGAGAGGTTGGGACAGGAAGATCACGACATGGAAAGACCCTGTCAAAAGTACCTCTCTCTGTCTCCTCTATGAAAATATTAATAGAGGGGAGCAGGTGGTATGGTACTTAAGGCACTGGACTCTCACATGGCCAACCATAGTTCGAGTCCTGGATCTGGCAGCTTGCTTTCTCACTTTCTTTCTCTCTCTCCGGTGAGTGCACATGCCCTATAGCAAATTTGAAGGTAATAATAATAATAATAAATAACATTTTAAAAATAATTCTAAAAAATTAACAGATTGATAAAGAAATAAATATTAAAAATAAATGAAATGAAATTCAACAACATGCCAGTCAGCACAACAAAAGCAGCCAAGCAGACAATAAGTGATGATGGGATGTGAGAAAGCAGAGACCTCATGTCCTGCAGGTGACACTGGGTTTTAAAACATAGTATGCGAAAATGAATGGAGAGCCAGCCCTGTAGCCTAGTAATTAAGGGATCTGGATCTCACATGGCTGACCCAGCAAGGGAGCTTGAAAAACATCCTGGGCACATGTGTGTGAGTGTCCAAAACCCTGACAGGATAGAAACAATGGGGGGAAAAGGGATTGGAGCACAGCCAAGCTCCACTGGGGGCGCTGTCTCCCTCGCTCCCTCTCTGTATCTCTGGAAAGCACAAGCACCCTCTGGCAATTAGATATATTAGATTGAACAAAATATTTTACTAAAATTACTTTCCATTTGTTATGCGACTGCCAGGAGAGCTGAAAAGACACATGTAGCTTCTACTGGGGGTTTGCCGCCCTTCCCTTGCCCAGAGCTGTCTATATGCTGAGATCGTAAGGGCTGTTCTGCATTCTCGAGTTACCCGGACAGTGGTTTCATTCTACGCCCACAGTGGAAAGAGTCAATGATTCCAACATTCCGTGGACTTCCGATTCTGATCCCACTCCAACTCCCTAGGCAGATCCGGACACTCACCACTTCCTCTTCCTCTCCTGTCTTATGGCTCTGAATCCTCCACCCAGAAATTCCCCTCAACAACGCCGATGCAATTTCAGATGAATCAGAAGGCCCCTCCGGATGTTGTGGGCCTTGAGGTCAGGGTGGCCAAGTATGGGGAGAGGTTTCTGCCTATATATGCTGAGAACAGCCCAAAATAGCTTCTGCCCCTTCCCTCCTGAGACCCTTTCCTCCCCTAGGCCCCCATGCTCCCAAATCTTACAGCTCCACCAGGCCTTCTGGAAATGGCATGAACCACGCAGCTCCCGGTGCCAGTGCGGAAAGTGGTACAACACGGTGGGGGGTTGTCTAGAACGGTTCCCCTCTGACCACCACGATGCCCTGAAGTTCCCTATGGGACGACACCCAGGCCAGGGTGCTTGGTGGACCTACAGAGGCTGAGGAGCCAAGGGCTCACTCACACAGAGCCAGCAGGCAGGTAAGAGGGAGCAGGGCACGAGCAGTGCTTACCGAACACTCTACACCCATTTCCTCATTGACTCCTCAAACCTTAAGAAGTAGATACTGCAGTCCCTCGTCACAGCAGAGAATGCTCGAGCTCAGAGACAGGCAGTATCATGCCCAAGGTCACACAGCACAGCCAATGGCAAAGCTGACATTTGAATACAGGTCAGCGCCTTCAGCCCAGGAGCCCTGGAGGTCAGGAGAACAGTGAGACAGCAGCCCTAGCCGAGGACACTTGCAGACTGGGGGCCTCCTGTCAGCTTTGGCCTGCAGACCTGTTAAGATCCCTCCGTATGGTAGTCTTGCGTGTATTTATTTATTTATTTATTTATTCATTAATTCTTTAGGGTGCATTTGCTCTCCAGAGAGGGGCAGTGAGAAATCATCCCCCAGGGGAATGACCAGGTTGCAGTCCTTTCTGCATTCTCCTCAGGATCTGGGGCATGCACACACATGTGCCTGGTGTGATTTTCAAGCCACTGGGTCTGGGACTTGGATCACATAGTCAGCCATGTGGGTTCCAGCGTCTTAAACTCCATACCACTTGCTGGGCCCCAGACTTGTACTTTTTTAAAAACGCTGACTTTAAAAACATAGAGTTTGTTTTTGTTTTTGTTTTTTAATGTGAAAAAGGGAATGATTGGCATCTTTGGGAAAATGGGAAAATCTGTTAAGGTTGGTCTCATCTCCAGAAACTCTGACCCTCAGCTGGAGCTGAGTAACAATTTCCCTTTCTAAAGACCTCTGCACTTTGCAGCTCGCCACTGATTGTATTCAGCTGCTCTGCTTGCTGCTCTGGCCGGACAGCCCCCACCCCTGGGCGCACTGAAGTGCAGCTCTGGTCCGCTTTGTGTGTGATGTCCTTCCCAGACATGCCAGATGGCCTGGCTTCCTAAAGGGACTCACAATCTAGGAAGAGAGTTAGGTCCCCCGAGGGTTCCGGCCACAGGTGCCTCGTTCCATAGCTGTGTGACAATGAGAATGGCACTTCCCCTATCTCGACCGCAAGAGAGGCTGGACTACTGGCCCAAGCACCATGTCCTTATAAGGGAAAATGACAGCTCCAATGCCGCCTACCTGTGTCCCCGAGGAGTCCATCCATGGAGGCCTCCTGGGGTGGGGAGTCCTGCTGGCAGGGACAAGGCATGGAGATGTTGGAGGAGAAGTATCTACCTTCCAGGAAGAACTGGTTCCAGAACAGCCTGGAAGTGGCCCTCAGGGCGATGACTGCACCAAGGCCCCATTGGAAGGAAGGGTTTGGGCGGAGGAAGACAAGCTGTTCAGATGTATACCTGCTATGCAGTAAGTGCTCAGTAAATGCTAAGTGCTGTTATTGTTAGTCTTCTTTCAAAATTTATTTTCGTTTATTTCTTCCAGGAGAGACAGACAGAGAATGGGGGGGAGGTACTCCCAACAGGGTCTTCACTTTGCAGTCCAGAGTGAAGTGAAGCACATGTGCGTGCATGCCCCAGATCCCGAGGAGAATTGGAGAAGGGACTGCAACATGGTCATCCCCTGGGGGAGGGTTTCTCACTTTCTCTTTCCAGCCTCAGCCAGCCCGAATCACAGGCACGCTGGTGTGCGCACTCCCTATCCCCCCGCCCTCGCGTGCACAGGGCGACCTCAGGATGTGAACCCAGATCTTCCCAGGTGGCCTCAGCGTTATGGAGCATTGTGTTACTGCGGGGCTGCCACAGCTGGCTGTTAACCTCTTTCTAAGGGGAGGAACCTGAGATAGAGAGAGGTCACCTGCCCAAGGTCACACAGCTCTGAAGGGACAGAGCCATGATTTGAAGCCAAATCCTTGGTCAGGTTAAAGACAGGAAGGGAGCTGGCAATGAGAACCAGAGCCACTGCCTGCTTGTGGAAACGTCTCATCCCCCCCGCTGGGTTCCCACCCCCCCCACACACAAGTCAGGGCCAGTCTCCCCTTGGGGCACTTGAGTTGTAAGGGGAGAGGAAAGAAGCAGAGACAAGTCCTGCCCTGGGCTTCTAATGGGTGCACGGTTTCTTGGAGCCTCAGTTTCTTTCTCTGTAAAATGGGGCTAATTCTACTTTCCTGCTACCAGGACTGGAGACGCTGCTTGGAAAAAGGCCCTCACCCTCTCCTCCCACAGCTCCTACCACTCCTCCTCTGGGGAGGGGATGGGCAGCTTGCCCAGCCCTCTGGGGCGGGGGCGGGGGGCACCGCAGGGCGGGGATGAGGCATCCAGGAGGGCTTGGCCAAAGGGTAGAAAAGCAGAAGCCGCAGGGTTCCCTAAGTCCCAGAGAGTTCCCCCACTTCCTCTCCACCTGCCGCAGCTGCCAGAGCCCGCCTGCTGAAACCACTGCTATACGCCTGCTGAGCCCACTGCTATCACGAGTATGAGGGGCCTCTGGGGAGTCACTGAGCACCTCCTCAGGACTGGGTAGGTCTGGGGACTTGGGACACTGAGGGGCACAGGCAAAAAGACCCGGGGCAGGTGTGAGGGGTGGGAGCTCAGATCTTCCGCTCTGACAATCTCTGGCTGTGTGACCATGGGTTACTCATCACCAGTCTGAACCTCGGTTTTCACATCGGTGAAATGGGAGTTATCGCATATCTACTGATTGTCACCACAATTGAATGAGAAAGTGCATGCTCAGGGCTTGGCCCATGCTTGGCTCAGAGCAGCACTCCATATGCCAGGGGTCCCAACCACTGGGCCGTGGACCGGTACCAGTCTGTGGCCTGGCCTGGTGGGGAGGCTACACAGCGGGAGGTGAGCAGCAGGCAGGCCATTGAGTGAAGCTTCATCTGTATTTACAGCCACTCCACATCGTTCATGTCACTGCCTGAGCTCTGTCTCCTGTCAGATCAGGTTCTCATTGGGGCACTAACTCTGCTGAGAACTGCACAAAGTGAGGGATCTAGGCTGCACTCCTGAGAATTTAATGCCTGAAGATCTGGGGTGGAGCTGAGGCGGTGATACTAGCACTGGAGAGCGGCTGCAAATACTGCACTATGGTGAGCTGTATAATTATTTCATTGTACATTACAAGGTACTGATAATAATAGAAAGAAAGTACATAGTGAAGGCAGTGCACTTGGAATTATCCCAGCCCCCCCATCCCCGCTCCCATCCGTGGAAAAATTGTCTTCCATGAAACCAGTCCTTGGTGCCCTAGAGGTTGGAGACAGCTGCCATGAAAAGCAGCTAGTTTTTGGTCATTCACAATACCCAGCAGGGATAGCAGGTGGTGTGGTGGTTAAAGTGCTGGACTTCCAGATGGCTGACCATGGTTCGAGTCCTGGACCTGGCAGCTTGCTTTCTCGCTCTCCCTCTCTGCTCTCTCTCTGTGTCTCTCTTTGGTCAAATTGAATAATAATAATAAATAAAATTAAATAATTTTTGAGAGTTTTTTCCTATAGGGCACTTACACTCGCTAGAAAGACAGAGCGGGACAGAAAGACAGAAAGCGAGAAATCACCCCTCCAGGGGGGGATGGCCACACAGCAATCCCTTCTCCTCCACTCTCCTCTCGGGATCTTGGGCATGCATGCACACGCGCCTGGAGTGAGTTTAAGCCACTGGGTCCGAGACTTGAACTGCAGTCAACTACATGGGAGTCCAGTGACATAGCCATTACGCCAACTGCTGGTTCCTAAAATTAAGATTTAAAAAAAATTTTTTTAAATACAATACCCAGCACAGGACTTGTCACCCGATTTAACTTTTTAAGTTTATTTATTTATTACAAAAGCTTAGCTCTCCAAATAACAGAGTGGTTCTTTCTCAATCGGTGCAGCAAAGTCCCAAGGGGTCAGGTGGGGTCAGGTGTCCATCCCTGCACCAGTCACTGTGCTCAGTGGCACCTGGATTGGCTAGAACAGCTTGTGCACTCTCCCCCCAAGCTGAGGATGGTGAAGGCAGTCAGGGCTTTGCCTGTAACCAGCATGGCTACTCCACCTACCCTCCTCTCTGCCCAGTATAACCGTATGAGCGTAAAACCATGCTTCCTGGTATCACTTGAAATGATCCACGATCTCTAAGCTTGAGAGACCCTCAGTGTTGCCCAGGAACTGTGCTATTTTCCCAGCCCATCTGTCTCTCACCTGGTCAACTATCCTATACCTTCTCCTTGCTCACCTCCTCCTGCATTCTATGGTCACCGCGACCTTGCCTGCTGCTAGCCCGAGCAAACAGAAGCAATCATGCCCCTTTTAGTGAATATTTATGGAGCATCCACCACATGCCAGGCACTATCCCAGGCCCTTGGGTAATATCAGGAACCAAAAGAGACAAAGTCCCTGTCCTGGTGGAGTGGACACCCCAGTGATAGAGATAGCTAACATGGTGCTCATGATGGGCAAGATAGAAAATGACCCTCTGAGGAGCATATTTTTATTATAGCATTTTATAGATAAGAAAACTGAGGCACAGAGAGGTTAAGAAACGAGCAGTGTTACACAGCTGGTGAGTGGTGGAGTGGGGATCTGAACCCAGTCAGTCCAGAGGTCATGCCTTTATTGCTCTGCCCTGTGCATATCAGTTGATACTTTTCACAAGTGCACACATTTCACGAGTGCCTGTCCATTTACCACCATCGGTGCCCGCATCTTCTGCTTTCTCACCTGATGTGAAGGATGAATGGCCCCTGCTCCTTCCCGAGAGCAGCCCTACTGTGCATGCTCTCATTCTCACTCCTGCATCACCGAGGGCTATCAGCCCAGAGTGTCCTTCATCAGTGTCTCCCATCCTGACTGGACCTGCCCTCTGTGAACATGCTATCATTTCTCCCACCTTACATGAACTCTTGGGGTCCCACTCTCCCTGCCAGTAAGTGCTCCATTTCTCTGCTTAATAAATGTTTATCAGATGAATAAATACAAGGATGATAGAGTAGAAAAGTTCCTCAAGGGCCATCTGGTCCACTCTCCTTACTCCTAAATTATAGAGATGAGCCCAAGTAAAGAGGGGAATGTCTGGGAACACAGGGAGCAGCCAAGATGGAATCTAGCTGGATCTTTCCCTCTTTCCC